TCTGTCTGTCTGTCTGTCTGTCTGTCCGTCCGTCCGTCCGTCCGTCCGTCCGTCTGTCAGTCCATCTGTCTGTCTGTTTCTGTCTAGCTGTCCGTCTGTCCATTTGTCTGTCCGTCTGTCTGTCCATCCGTCTGTCTGTCTCTGTCTATCTCTCTGTCTGTCCGTTTGTCCATTTGTCTGTCTATCCGTCTGTCTGTCTGTCCATCTGTCCGTCCGTCTGTCTGTACATCTGTCTGTCTGTCTCTGTCTATCTCTCTGTCTGTCCATTTGTCCATCCGTCTGTCTGTCGCTGTCTATCTCTCTGTCTGTCCATTTGTCTGTCCGTCCATCTGTCTGTATGTCTCTGTCTATCTCTCTGTCTGTCTGTCCGTCTGTCCATTTGTCTGTCTATCCGTCTGTCTGTCTGTCCATCTGTCTGTCTGTCTCTGTCTATCTCTCTGTCCATCCGTCTGTCTGTCCATCTGTCTGTCTGTCTCTGTCTATCTCTCTGTCCATCCGTCTGTCTGTCCATCTGTCTGTCTGTCTCTGTCTATCTCTCTGTCTGTCCGTCCTTCTCTGAGCTTCCTCCAGAGCTGCTTTATAGATTAGTTGAACTCATTTAGGGCTGAAATGATTATTCAACATTATCGACAATGTCGACAATAAAAAATTGTCTGCATATATTTTTGTTGTTGTTGTTTGATTTGCTGATTTTTTTGTAGTCGTTTGATCTCATATGATCTCATAGTCTTTGAGTTCCCATGTAGGCCCTGCAATAATGCGGTTTGACCAGTGTGGCGCTGTAGCGCAAGACTGTAATTCAGCCCTCATGCAATCCAATAGAAGAAGACACACATGGCTTTCATGTGGGAAGCAACCAGACGCTGATGAGAGTGGCCTTTAGATGAATATGTAAATATGTGCTGCACGCATGGGTGTTAGAAACATTCTATATGGGTGGGACAAGACCCACCCACTTTTTAAGACCAATGATATTGGACCCACTTACTTTTACTGTTTCTAATTTTGCGTTTTAGCTACAGCTTTGACTTCCACGCTGCTGCTTCCTCAAATCCATTCCACTTGGCTCATTCAGAGTCCATATAAATTAAACTACATTCCGTGTTTTCACTTCTCGCACCTGCTGCACTCCCGCGACACCAGTGGTGCCTGCAGGTGTACGGCTGTACGCACTACCATGAGTACCATGAGCGCTTCGGCTGACCTGCAAATATTTCAGCAGTTATGATGTGTGTCCCGTATTTCTGTCAAGTGAACTAGCCACGCCACTAATTATGGATTAATCATTATTTTAAGTCATATGAATCATATGAAGCGTTCCTCCGTCAGTAAAACAAACAGCATCGAGATACTTAAGAACACATATAACAAATAGCGCTAGATGAAGTAGACTCTAGAGTAGACGTTCAACTCTAAACGCAGTAAAACACGTTGTAAATGGAAACCTTTTACGCTGTTTCGCCAATGTTAGTATTACAGCTTCATCTTTAGCACCTCTGTAAAACCAGACCTGAAGGGAATTATTATATTTGTGGGTCTTTGGCAAACATCTCTCTCACACACAAGACATTTACACGCAAGCGACTAAAATAAAAAACATGCTCGCTCTCTTCCTATCGATCTATTTAATAACTGCATAGCAACGCCTACAAATAACTGAAACAAAAGGCTACTTATTGAGAGGCTAACTTTGAGAAAATTAAGCTGTGTCATGAATAAGCGGTCATTCGCCGACAGTAGGCTATTTCAAGTTTTTTTTTTTTTCAATCGTGAATATCCACTTCATCAGCATTTTGTTCTCTGTTGTTGTTGTATTTGATCATTTTGTTGATTATTGCTGTTTTCGTGCCATTTTTAAAAGGTTTAAAACGCGTGACACCTTCGTTCTGCTCAGTGTTGCTGTCACTGATCGTTTGGTCCTCAAGGCTTAAAGACATTATTGAAGGCTATTGAACATTTAAGTGCTGTTTTTGACCACAAAAAAAAAGTCTGTGCGTACCCTCAGATGAAATCCAGCAGGCGCCCCTGTGCGACACAGCAAGCCAAACAAAGCATCTTAGCATATCTGCTGCTTGGGTGGGTCTGTGTGCTCACATATGGTCTCTAAACAAGCTGCTATTTAAATTAATCTTCATCAGTTGTTCGCCTGTTGCTTTTAAAGGCATCATATAGTCTTTGTTGCAGCACTGAATTACAGTTACACTTACACTATGTTGTTATAATGCTAACATACTCCAGTAAAATGTTTCTGGGGGAGGACCACCCACATTTTTTTTGCTTCTGATGCCCATGGCTACGTGCTTTCCTCTGAATAATGAAATAAACACAACAAAAATGACAGCGGTGAGAAAACAGCAGTTCAGAAAGCATCTGATAATAGCGATGTGATGTTTGCACCAGCTCTGCAGTCGGCCCTCCAGTTAAGTCACGTATATATAGCGCTTTATACTTTTGATTGATTTAAATCAATCAGCTTTACAGTATTAAACATGAAAAACAGTGTCAAGTGTTGTTTTCATTTACAATTGCAACTTGATATTCTGTTATAAAGCAGCTCTCCAGTGTGAATCTTTTTATTAGTTATTGCAAAGAAGAAGAAAAAAAAATCATATTACATTAAAGTCACAGTTTGGTTTGCAGAGTTTAAAGCTTAATCTAGCTCAGGACTGTTTTGAGTATTATAACACTATAATGTATTATAAAGAGTGCTAATGTTGTGAATAAAATAATGTATCCAAAACTAAAATGTCTTATCACTTACCATTATTTTGTTCCATATCCGTACGACTTACAAAAAGACATGTTAGACAGAATGATGAGTTACTTTGTCATACAGTTTAAATAGTGAATGAGAAAGTCTCTGTCCGTCATCTCATTTTGTATGCCAAATATATTTATTTGTATTGTAAAAAATAACTGTATAATAATTGTAAATGTACAATAATAATACAATTGTTTGACGTTTTCAAAATCTGAAGTGATTACCTTGTTTATGTATTAGTTAGAATATGTGTAACTCAATATTTGAACTCATTGTAAAAGCTGAATAATCCATCAAACCTACTGATTAATCGGTGAAATAATTGGCGATTAGTTGTTCTAATAATCATTAGATTCATCGTTGTAAATGTACAATAATAATACAATTGTTTGACGTTTTCAAAATCTGAAGTGATTACCTTGTTTATGTATTAGTTAGAATATGTGTAACTCAATATTTGAACTCATTGTAAAAGCTGAATAATCCATCAAACCTACTGATTAATCGGTGAAATCATTTTCGATTAGTTGTTCTAATAATCGTTAGATTAATTGATTATCAAAATAATTGTTTGTTGCAGCCATAAACTCATTCCATAATTGATGAACTTTGCACAATTATTAAACTGAACTGAATCAACGATGAACTGCCTTTAACTGAAATATTGACTGTTTACTCTTGTCCACTTTCTAGAGCTGCTTTTCAGCAGAATTGAATTGCGCTTGCATTATCGTCACTATTTTCCTGTTTAATACTGTAACGCTGACTTGATACAGTCTGTATGGTATAAAGCGCTATAGAAATAAAGCTGACTTGACTTGTCTGTGTCTCAGAGTGAGCTGAGCAGGTTGACTCGAGCTCACCGTGAGCTGAAGGAGAGGTTTGAGGAGGAGCGCCGTCAGACGGAGGAGCTGCAGAGGAGACGCAGTGAGTTAGAGGAGCTGAGGAGGAGCCAGGACCGAGTGTTAGAGCAGCTGCAGGAGGAGGTGAGAGGAGACGCGAGACTCCCGTCTGATGGAGGAGTTGCTCTGATCTCACTCATTCTGTGTGTGTGTGTGTGTGTGTGTGCGTGTGTGTAGATGAGCGCGGCGGTGATGGGATCGGAGCAGGAGACGCAGAAGCTGCAGGAGGAGGTGGACGCGCTCAGAGTTCAGAGCCAGAGAGAACTGGACACACTACACATACAGCTACACGACACACACACACAACTACAGACACACACTCACGCCACACTGGAGTACCAGAGAGAGGTGCACACACACACACACTGGCTCTGTTTGGTGTTCCTGTCATCATATTTGGTGTGTGTGTGTGTGTGTGTGTGTTCAGCGGTGTGTGTTGGAGGAGAAACTCTCTCGCTGCGAGTTTGATCTGAATGAGGCGGAACTGAAAACTCAGCAGCTGCAGAAGAGAATAAAAGAGTTGGAGGAGAAACAACAAACACATGACGACAGACACAGCAAACTCATGGAGGTACACACACACACACACACTCACTCACACACACACTCACACACACACACACTCACTCTCACTCACACACACACTCACACACACACACACTCACTCTCACTCACACACACACTCACACACACACACACTCACTCTCACTCACACACACACTCACACACACACACACTCACTCTCACTCACACACACACTCACACACACACACACTCACTCTCACTCACACACACACTCACACACACACACACTCACTCTCACTCACACACACACTCACACACACACACACTCACTCTCACTCACACACACACTCACACACACACACACTCACTCTCACTCACACACACACTCACACACACACACACTCACTCTCACTCACACACACACTCACACACACACACACTCACTCTCACTCACACACACACTCACACACACACACACTCACTCTCACTCACACACACACTCACACACACACACACTCACTCTCACTCACACACACACTCACACACACACACACTCACTCTCACTCACACACACACTCACACACACACACACTCACTCTCACTCACACACACACTCACACACACACACACTCACTCTCACTCACACACACACTCACACACACACACACTCACTCTCACTCACACACACACTCACACACACACACACTCACTCTCACTCACACACACACTCACACACACACACACTCACTCTCACTCACACACACACTCACACACACACACACTCACTCTCACTCACACACACACTCACACACACACACACTCACTCTCACTCACACACACACTCACACACACACACACTCACTCTCACTCACACACACACTCACACACACACACACTCACTCTCACTCACACACACACTCACACACACACACACTCACTCTCACTCACACACACACTCACACACACACACACTCACTCTCACTCACACACACACTCACACACACACACACTCACTCTCACTCACACACACACTCACACACACACACACTCACTCTCACTCACACACACACTCACACACACACACACTCACTCTCACTCACACACACACTCACACACACACACACTCACTCTCACTCACACACACACTCACACACACACACACTCACTCTCACTCACACACACACTCACACACACACACACACACACACACACACACAGTATTCTGAACTTTAGTCTCCAGTTGATTTCAGAAGATCATGTGTTTAAAGCATGTGTGTGTGTGTGTGTCCAGGTGCGAGTGTGTGAGCTGGAGCGGAGTGTGTTAGACGAGCGCAGCAGCTCAGACGCGCTCATGAAGAGACTGGAACGAGGACGAGAGCAGGTCTCACTCACACACACACACACACACACACACAGACAACATCTCTCAGCTTGATGTGTGTGTGTTTGATGTCTGCAGGTCATGGCAGAAACTTTGTGTGTGTGTGTGTGTAAGTAGGTTGTGATTGTGGTCAGTGTCTAATGGACTGTGTGTTTCTGACCCGGTTTAAAGCGCTCTAGTTCTTTATTTCTGGGCTTCATTCAGCTGTGTCTCATTAATTGGAGTCGCTCAGTTTTGTTCCAGTCAAACACAAAGAAAGCACAGACGCGCTCAGAATAACACACACACACACACACACACACATCACGAGCAGTTTCATAAGGCCACAGATTAATGCATTCACATGAATGACAAGCACAGTTATGATACACGAATACTGTGGAGAGAACATGATGAATGCTCAATCCACAGAAATCAGTGTGTTGTATGTGTGTGTCAAGTAAAGTCAAGTCACCTTTATTTGTATAGCGCTTTATACAGTACTAGTCGTGTCAAAGCAGCTTTACAGTTTTAAACAGGGAAATAGTTTGTCAGTAATGTAAGAAGACAATAACAGAGTCATTTTTCAGCTAAAGTCAGTTGATTCAGTGATGTCATCATCCAGTTCAGCTCTCTTCTAATAGTGTCTGTGCAATCAGTCAAGTGTCCCCAACTAAGCAAGCCAAAGGCGTGTGTGTGATATATATATATATATATGTCAGATGGAGCAGGTGAGAGCTGAAGTGCTGCAGGAACGAGCCGCTCGACACGAGCTGGAATGTGACAAGATCCGTCTGGAGCGTCAGGTGAACGACTTCACTCACATATGTGACCCTGGACCACAAAACCAGTCATAAGGCTCAATTTTTCGAAATTGAGATTTCAGATGATACATAATCTGAAAGCTGAATAAAT